AGCCAACCGCTCCCGTGCTGCAGGATACAGCAGGTCTGTCGCTGCTATTAGCACAGGCCAATTACTTAAATCACAAGTTCGGTTTATTTTTTGAAAGGCTAAGAATTTTTCCCCTGGGACTTGAAAAGCAAAAATCCAACCACTAAAGCTGTGCAACAGAAATCAAGAGCACAGCTGACAGTTTGCTGTTAAACAGTCCATGGGCCAAAGCAGGGAGAGCTGCCAGCGGACGCAGCCCAAAGTGTGGGAGAAGGGATTTAAAGAGAGAAAAACCCACCAGCCCTGCGCGTTCAGCAGCTGGCACAGGAGCACCCAGGAAAACAGGTAAAAAGACCCAGAACTTGCATGGTACCAGTGGAAAGGTGTCAGTGCACAGAGAGGGAACTCCTCACTGGTAACCGGTAACTGGTGTTACTGGTGCACAGCACCCAGGCTGGGGGAGGCTGAGTGAGCGGCAGCCAGGAGCAGCCCCACGCTCGCCCCGCTCTCAGCACCCGGACCAAGCACAGCGAGAGCCGGTGTCACTGCGAGGGACAGCTCCATCCCCCAGGGTCGGTGACAGCAGGGACAGGAGGAACAGTCACCCCCTGAATAGCTTCCCAGAAGCAGGGGGGGCTGTCAAACCCTCGGCTCCAGCGGCAAAGCAGCCCCCAGGGAGCAGCTGGGCGGGACGGTTCAACCCAGCTCAAACCCCGCTGGGATCCTGCCTCGGCCCTGGTTTTCCCGCTTCCCCTTCCCACACACCAGCAACTCTCACAGCAACTCGCTGGTGAAGAATTCACCGTTGTGTTCCAAGAAGTCCAGAGCTCTGCACAGCTCCAGTGGCGAGCTGGGGGAGGAGGAGCTGGTTTTTATTTTTCTTTCCAGCACCCTCAGTCACCCCAGTTTTGTGACGGCTGTGTTCCAGCTGAGCTGCGCCAGCAAACAGTCCTTGGGAACACACTGGACTGACACTGAGCACCTCTCCCCCCACCTGCAGCAGGGCTCTAGTACTTCTTAATTATAATTTTTTCTTTAATTTTACCCCAACAACCTCCATGCTGAAGAAACAAAGAAGTCCTTTTTTCCCCAAACCTTTTACGAACACTTAAAACCTTCCAAGCAAAAGAGGGTTTGAAATGACCACGCACACACGGTAATTCTTTAAGACCTTTATTAACAGATGCTTGCAGTTTGACTTGAAAAAATCAGGTGTATTATTTCTTACAAATTAAAAATGAGGTTCTTAAAAATCTCAACTTGACCAGATATGAAACAATTTAAAAACCTTTAAAGGTATATTGAGAAAAAACAGGCTTTTAAAAAACGTGTTTATCGTTTCCAAAAGGAGACTTCTTTAGGTAAAAATAATAAAAACCCCATGCTGCATAGATAATGCAGATAGTTCTAGTAATCTGGTCAACAGCAAAAAGCAAGCACTTAAGGTCTTCAGTTCCAATTCTTTTGCTCATTTCTTATTGCTGGAATTTCATTTTCTTTTCTTCTTCATTTCTTAAGTCTTTTCTTTGATGACTAAACTGAAAAAGAGAAAACAAACAGGATGTCAGGTGTTTTGTCCACGGCGCTCCCCACATCAGCCCACTCTCATGACCAAACTGCCATCTTCCAGCAAAAACAAAGGACCCCAGAAAGAGAAAACATGAAATTCTGAACACAAAGGAATCCCGTTCTCCACCTCTCCCCTCGCTGGCCTCCATGTTCCGTGACAGCACCCTGGGGAGAGCCGCTCACATCGGGCTCTGCCGACACACCCGGCTCAGCGCAGTGGGACCAGCTCTGGAACCCCTGCGGACCCCCTGAGCCAACTCCATGACCTTTAAGGTCCCCTCCAGCCCAAACCATCCCGTGATTCTGTGATTCTCACCCCCGGGAGGGCACAAAGAAAACAGAGGATCTCCAGGAGCCGGCTGGAGAGCAGATTTCTACCTGCGCCCAACGGAGGCAGCGCGGCTGCGGCAAGCTGCGGCCCAGACCACAGGAACCACAATTTATAGCCTCTGATACCATCAGCAGACAGAAAGAGCAAGCGAGTGTCACGCTGGGGTTTCTCCGAAGCCCACAACATTAAGAATTCATCCAGCCCGTGCTACCCGTCACGATGAGCACCAGGATCGAACAGCGGTTCACATCCAGCGCACAGAAAACACTGCGGCGAGGCGTGACAAGGTGCCAGGTGATCCCACCCCACCACAGACCCAGCAGCGTCCCAGCCCAGGAAGAACGAGTCCCAGAGCTCCCACAGCGGGGAGGGGTCTGTGGGGGCTGCCGGCACCACGCTGGACCCATGTCCAGCTCCTGCCTTCCCTGTTCATCCCGTTAAAGCCACCATTCCTTACTGCTCCCACCAGAGCCTAAATCTGTCCTTCCGTCCGCCTGCCCTCCAGGCAAAGAGACACAATAGAAACGGGCTCTGGGCGCTGGCGAGAGGAAATACAGAGAGGGAGGAAGAACAGACAAGGAAAGTGCCAGAAAAAAGCAGAGCAAGCAGGAGGGAGTCCTAGCAAGGAAGATATTCCCAAATTAGCAAAACTATCCTCAGAAGACAGCACCAACCAAGCGCCAAATCACAGCCAGTCTACCCTGCAACAAAAATGTTTTAACACCGACCTTTAGGCGATCCTCCCAAGCAGCACCAGCACCTCAGCACCCCGCATGCTCCGTACAAAAGACCGTCTCTACCAGTTTTTCCAGCACTGTTTTGCTCAGATAAATGCTGCTACCGAGACACTCCTGCAAATCCTGCATCAACTTTCTAGAAATGAATGCCTGGAGGTCTTAACACCACTCACCTCCCCTTGGGGACCCAGAGGTAAAAGCTCAGACACACAGCTGAGTAAATCCCAGTACCCATTTCCCCCAGTTGTACCAGCACCGCTGGAATGACTATTTCTGGGTGGACAAAGACGTAAGCCTGAACTGCTGAGCACAGCCAAGATTTGAAGATGAACAGTACTCTAGGCAGTGACTCCATCAACGAAAATTAAAGCCTGGTAACCGCGTCCTGCCAATTAATCAGCATCTGTACAGCAAAGTCTCACAGTTTGGCTTTGCAGACAGGAGTGAGCACGCTCACAGTGCAACCAGTTGGGTTACAACACGCAGGAGCAAGGACAGGCCAAACCTTTTAAAAGCAAAAATTAAAGGAAGCATCAAAAGAAAAAAAGTCATCAAATCGTATCCCCCAGAAGCCCTGGCCACGCACCCGGATGATGGTAGAGATGGTAAGCCGGTATTTACTCAGCCCCGCCCTGCTCGGCCTCGGGAGCGGACGTGTTCTCAGCTGGTGGTTCGGCTGTCTTCGTCTCTTTGCCATCTTGTGGTTTAGGGTTCTCTGGGCGTCTGCGTCGGTAGTTGAAGTTACGACGGTACCGACGTTGAGGTGGCTGCTGACTTTGGGTCTCATCCCCTTGGTTCTCTTTATCTTCTTCGTTCCCATCCTCTCTAGGCTGTCTTTGACGAGGAGGACCCCTGAAAGTCAAGCTAGGCTTAAACAATGCAGCATCTGACCAGCGCCATGTCCTGTCTCTGGTGCTAAAAGGCAAGGTTAAAAAAAAAAAAAAAGCTGATCTGCAGCATACCTGCGAAATCGTGGTCTATAACCTCGATACATGTTCTGCCTGACTGGTCTGCCTTGTTCTCCTGCACCCTGGTTGTCAGCACCCTGCAAGACATCAGGCAACAAACCACCTCAGCCACACGGAAGAGCCTGTTAACGCCATGACAAGTTGAGTCGCGAAGACAAAGGCTGGAAGGGGGCTGTCAGGTGAAGTCAAGGGGTACAAGGTGGCAGCAGCCCCAGGGCACCAGTAGGATTTGTGTTTCTTCCATTAATCGTACAGGAAGTTAACACAAATGTAAACATACTGGCTTTTTAAAGAGCTGTTACGTGAAGACCTTCAGCTTATTGACATCAGCTCCAGTGTTTCAAACCGCACCAAAAACATCTGGATAATCTCCAAAAAGCGGCAAAAAGCTGTGTCCCGTCACCCCGCTCCAAAGGCATGAGGCCAGTTTAGCACCACGCGTTAAGCGAATGTTACCTCCACGATCTCTCCCTGCACGGGAGGGTTGGAATATTGTGGTCGACGCCCGTAGGGCCTACGCATGTAGTAAGGTGGGTACCGCCGCCTGCGATAGGGACGGCGTTGCTGGGCTTGACCTTCTGGGATGTTCTCTGCTCCTTCGTTCTTTTCCCCACTCTCACTATTCTGGTAATTTTGCTGGTAGTTGCGTGGAGGACCCCTACGACGTGGATATCGTCTGTAATGGTTACGGTCTGCTGCGTATTTACTGCCTTGCACTGGAACTCCTCCAGGACCTGTAACGTTAGCTGCCTCCGCGCCCTGAGGAGCAGGGAGAGGGTTAGGCAGGTAGTCAGCATCAAATCGGTTACAGCGGCATGCCATTTAGGACCGAACAAGGATTTACATCCTCATTGTAAAGCAATGAAAACTCATTCATCTCCTCAGATGTCATCAGGCAGCGACTCAAACCACAGGCACCACACCAAAGCCTGCAGACCCAGTTTTCCGAGCACACTCCAACACCCGAGAGACGCTTTTACCTTTTCTCCTTCAACCACATCAAACTCCACGGTCTCTCCATCTCCTACGCTGCGGAGGTACTTCCTGGGGTTATTCTTCTTTATGGCAGTCTAACAACAGAACATCGCAGGGTTACATTTACAGGCACAGCCACAGAACACTACTTAGCGTATCTGAAGACTTTATTTAGAATTTTTTTTTTTTTTAAGGTTAAGGAATTGGAGTATTTAGTATCTCAGGAGGAAGACCTGTACTCCTGGAAAAGCAATTAAACCACTGTGAAAATCCAGGAAGCTATAAAATATACCTGTATTACCACCGTTCTGGTCCAGCTGAAATGTGTAGCAGCTGACTAGAAACATCTATCAACACGCTTCCTGCTAGCTGAAAAAGCAGTTTGAAAACAAACAAAACCCCCACAGTGCACACCGGCCATGGTATTCCCACCCAGCGGTCAGCATTAAACACCTCTATAGTATCTATACATCCCGCTGAAGTACAGACACCACTGCATAGTCCCGTACTCCGATTTCCAGCCCTCTACCATTGCCCGCAGCGCGCGGTGGTCTATGGGCAAACGAAGCTGTCCCCAGCTACATCAACACATCAATGGCCAGAAATCCAGGGATTTCTGAGGTGTTCTATCCATTAATCGCAAATCTACCCTGGCCGTGCGCGACACACCGAGGATTAGCCCTGGCAAGGTGTCAGCACCAGACAAGCCTTTGTATTGGTCTCTGCGTGTCCAGGGACACGACCAGAAAACACGGAATTTTCTGAGCTGTTCAGCAGCGGATTATGTTTTTGACAGATGAGTTAACACTCAATATGCACCGCTCTGGGCCACATTCTGCTTATCAAACACTAACTGAGCACTAATGCAAGTGTAACAACTTTACAAAACATACCAGCTACAGAATTTGACCAGATTTTTTCCCCAAATGGAACAAAATCTATGGAAATACACACCCACAAGTGTCAAGCCTATAAAGCAGCGATTTTAGGGAAGGACAGGAAGACCTTGTGACAACAGCAGCCACCAAGCTTGATATTGGGGACAGGGAAAAAGCACCCACAGCTCTAACTCCTAAACCAAGCTGACTTCTTTCAGATTAGACCCCAACAGTGTTTTACTGTGAAAATTATTACATTAAAACAAATCACTGCCCAACTGTGCTCTTAGAAACACAGACAGCGCTTACAGGACAAGTCCTGAAATCCGACATGAAGTCAAGGTCACTCACAGGTTATCCTACTTGCAAATCGAGCAATTGAGTCTGAAAGCTTCCCCTCAGGGCGCGTATTCTTGCCTCAGCAGCCAGAACACGGCTGAGTCACTTGAACTTTCTCCACTGTCCACTACAAAAGAACCTTTTATAAACAAATGTCTCTACACTTTAATAGCAGGTAATTTAGACACCGCGCAAGCAAGAAGCTGCAGACAGCAAATCAAACAAGTGAAAACACTTTCCGGGGTCACTTTTTCCCTTTGGCTACGAGAACATCCCTAACTCAAAACACCAGAACAATCCATGGACTCCTCAAGGCCAGAAGTAACCCATGCTCCGCTAAGAACTTTGTGGCTGCTTCCCAACAAGAGATCCTGAGACAGAAAGGGTAAAACCCGAGCGGATCACAGAGACAGGTCAGATACACAGGCCTAAACTAAGGCCAGCCTGCTCCAGGACACAAGCCCCAGCCGGGGTGCACAGCCTCTCTCTGCTCTAGTTTCCAGAGGTTTACATGCTCCCCAGAGATTATATTAAAGTGTACATCTCTGTTAACTGAAAAAGTATCTATTAAAATGTTTCCAGACTTTCACTGAAAGCCTGGAGCCACAAATTCTACAAGTTTTACAAAAAAAAAAATCACTGGCATTTCAGTCCTATTACATCCCAATTAATTTCTCTCCCTGCTGCAAGCGCTTAATTTAAACTTTATTTCCACGTGCTTACTAACAACTATATGAACCCACAGGGCAACTTAACTGGACTTCAAACAGTTCTCCTCAGTCAGAGGTGCAATTTTTGTCACTGTACCGGGGCTGCACCCCCTCAGCCCCATACCCCATGTCCTCTCGATGGGTGTATGCGGAGATGCAAACCCCCAGCTGCACGCAGGCTCCGCTTGCAATCCAACTGTGAGGAACAGTTGTTTGTGTTCACGGGACAGTTCTTGGAAAGTGTGAGGCTCTTTCACAACTGCTCACATAGCTCAGGGATCGCGAGTTTCAGAGCGGTAACACGCTTCAGTTTCAAGGAAATCTTACCTGATGGACAAACACATCTTCCTTGGTGTCATTCCTGCAAGACAACAGGAAATTGGGATTCAGGTATGAAACGCAGAGGAAATTAACACACTTTTTAAAAAAAAACAGTTGTTTGGGGTGGGAACAAAACAGAGAACTGTCAAGACAACTCGCTTTCAGCATCAGCCTTGCTCCTCAGCCTGCCCTCCGCTCGTCCCCCCACCAGCCCGCTGTTCAAGGGAAGGATCACCGGGCAGCCCGCAAGGGTCGGAGCACGGGCTGAGCCCAGCCAGTCGCACGTGAAAGCGTTCTTCCTCCCTCCTGCATCTCCCTCTGTCCTTCGCATCCCACAGACGGAGAGGTTTGAAGAAAGAGCACCTGCGAGCGAGCAGTCAATCCCTTCTGTGATGTTGTGTGGGAGACCGGCTATCGCAACCTTTCTAACCGCCTGCGACACCACCACGCGAGCCTCGCGTCATCTCGCCAGAGTTACATCGGCTCGGGCTCCATGTCTCCAACACCCCAGCTGACCACCGCAGCCTGGGCTTCTCCCCTCACAAGGAAGGGAAAACAGCTCAAGTCTGCACCTACAAGAATCCAGACGCACTCTTCAGCGTGACCGCGATATGGTCTCCACAACCACCACGCGGAGGGTGGACAACCTCAATACCAAGCAAAGTCGAGGAAGTTTCTGTGCTGCAATGCGTTGAGAGGCACAGCCTCAACAGCCTGGTTTGAGCTCTGCGTGCCCCTTCCACCACTCACAGCCCGCTCACAGCCGTACAGCCAAGCTCGCATCGCACCAACTGAACCTCGCTGTGGTGGGGAACGGTTTGAGTCAACAGCAGAGTGGCTTTATTTCCGAGAATGACTGGGTAAGGACATCGCGAAGCAAGCTGGGGTTAAAGTGTGCTCAGAACTGGAGAGACTACAGGGATGGGTAACAGAATCAGGATTTTTGTTTTTTAATAGGACAAGGAGGAACAGTTTGAAGCTGCAAGAGGGGAGATTGAGAAGAAGAAATGAGGGAAGAAATGTTTTCCTGTGCGGGGGGTGAGGCAGTGGCCCAGGGTGCCCAGAGCAGCTGTGGATGCCCCATCCCTGGAGGGGTTCAAGGCCAGGCTGGATGAGGCTTTGGGCAACCTGGGCTGGTGGGAGGTGTCCCTGCCCATGGCAGGGGGTGGCACTGGGTGGGCTTTAAGGTCCCTTCCCACCCAAACCCTTCTGGGATTCTCTGGTAAAGCCAGGGGTTCCTCACCACTGGCTTTAAAACATGCAGATGACAATTAAGACTTTTCCAAAAATTCCATCCAAGCTGTGGCAATTCTGTCAGATAGCAGCAGCCAAAATAAGTCACCGTGTTTCCTCATGAAATTGCTGCCGGCAAGCCTCAAAGATTACTGGAAAAATGTAGTCAAAAGGCAACAAAGCAGAGCCAGTCTGATCATCGTGAGGCAGCTTATCTCCAAGGCCCCACAATGCAGCATCCAGAAGCCCTGGCAAAGCCTGAGCCCACCTTCCTCATCACAATGCAAGATCTCTTACCAGATGCTCCAAAAGTTGAAAACCTTCCAGAGAGCTCAGTAACAGGTTTTCAGTAAAATAAATTTTAAAAAATGCTTAGCACATTCCTTCACTCTCAATGGAAAAATGGTGGTAGGAAGTGCTCGTGTCTGCGCTCTGCCAGTGTGGGTGCTCCATGCTCTTGCCCACGCCTGATTTTGGCCAACTACACCAGATGCTCATTTTTAAAGTCTTTTTGACATGCGGTTTCCATTTAAGAGGACACTGGAGCTTTAGATCAACGAATGATTCTGTTACACAGATATAAGTCAAAGTGTATACATGGTTAGCTAAAAAACAAAAAAAAGCACTGGTCAGTCCTGCCTGCCGTGGGATTCCGGATGGTGTTTTCCAGAGAAGCAGCAAGCCTTCTGCCGCTGGGGTGGTGTAACAGTAACAGCAATCACTTTCTCCAAGAAAACTTCAAATGGTGCAAGAGAAATCCCCATCCTGAGAGCCCAGCAAGCCCTTTAGCTTATCTTTGCCCTAAATGATTCTCGCCTCAACACGTTTAACACATAAAACAAAAATAAGGAATTGGGCAAAAGGACTGAGCAAACGCCACTGTTTAGTCCAGCACTAAATACAAAGCCAGAGATCATGTGCAGCTCCAATTATGGTCAGAGGACCAAGTCAGTGACCTGCACATCCATTTATTATTTTGACAACTGTGAGAAACAATTGACAGCCACTCAGAATTCCAACTAGAACTGCAGAACAGAAATGCACTTTTAACACCAGAAGAACACAGGAAATACTTGACGTTAACGTGCACCTCCAAAGCCAAATTTTAGTTCCAAAGCATTTTAGCTGCAAGCACACCCGGCTGAAGCAAAGGCAAGGGCAGCAGCTCCCGCAAACCTTCTCTCACAGCAAGCCAGAGAGATTCCAGAGTTGAGGAAACGTCCTCCAGTTGGGTTCTCAGGCTGCGGCTCTAATCTCTTGATAACACGACATCATGCTGGGTTTCTCATTAAAAATGGCAACCTTGGGGATTAAACGGCTGCCAAATTAAGGCCTGGGGAAGCCATTCGGATGTCTTCACTACCCGCCGTTGCTTCCTTGCTTGACTCACATCACTGAGCGTTTCCACTACTGAGGGAAACAGGAAAAAAGCCTTCCCTAGAGGGAGGGTTTGTGGCCTATGACTTTATACGTGTTTACAGGAGCCAAAGACACTCAAGCTTACGGCACTGATGACTACACGGCATTTACCATTAGGAAGAATGCAAACTGGGCAGACCCAGAGCCAGGCTTTGGAAGTGGTGGACACCAACCAGCTAAGGAGCTTAGCAGACACTTCAGACTGGGTCATGAGGTAACAGACAGTTAAAGAAAAGCAAGATTTAAACCAAACCCAAAGAAAAGGTCCAATAAAAGCACCAGTACCTACACTTGAACTGCTCTGCAGAGCAACCCCAGGACTCCTCCACCACTGGACAGCTTCACTGAAAGGCCAGCATTAAGCATTTCCTCTTAAGCGTTCAATTTTTTTCTTTAAAATCAACTACCATCATAAAAACACTTTCCCAGGCACTTGTTTCTCAGCCCCTTTCCACACTCCAGCCTTGCGATACGCAGGAGATTGGGATTTTGCTCGTTCCCCTGGACAGTCAGGGTTTCCTCAGAATGCGCTGTCCACCACACAGCCCTCGCAGCAATTTTTGCTTGCACGGATGTGACTGAGCTCCACACAGGAGCTGAAGCAAATATTCCACGTGTGCTAACAGCCAGCAGCCTTCCACGCCCTGAAGAACAAAAAAAAAAAAAAAAACCCCAAACCCCCAGGAAAAAAACCAAACCCAACCTAAGAAACACCACCACGAAAATCAATTTCTCCCGCCAAGTGTCCCCGAGCAGGGTGACAGCAGTGTGTGTCCCCCCC